TTGGATCTATGAGTCTAGAATTTGGGAGAGCAAACTGAGCTGGAGATAGAACTGTGGGCGTTACCAGCCAACAGTCTGTGAGCCTGGCTGAAATTGCCAAGAGAATGCAAAGAGAAGAGATTACAAGACTCTTCTTATAAGGGCACTCCTACACGTAGCAGTGGGGACATGAGGAAGGAGCAAAGGCAATTGACAAGGAGTAGAAAATCCAAGAGAATGGCGCCCCAGAAGCCCCGGGTGAGATGAGAAGTGTCCAGGATGGATGAGAGCTGTATCTGCATGTGGGAGGGCTGGGGTGGAGTGGGGCAGTGGGGCAAAGCAGTGGAGTGAAAAGCAGGTGGGGAAGAGGAGATGGCATGTGTGGATAGAAAGCGTGGAGGGAATGAAGTCATAGCCAGAGAACCAGCAAAGAGGGTGCAGCTGTGACAGAGGCAAGCTCACGAGTGACTGATGGGTCGAGAGCTCTACAACACAAGCAGGGATGTGAACCTTGGGTGGGAGGAGAGACTCCTTTCTTACCAAGGAGGAAGACAGGTGAAGAAGGTTTGAGTGAGTGCCCAACTTCTTTGTCTTGTTTTCTCTGTGAAACAGGAAGTGAGATTAACTGCTTTGGAGAAGGGAAAGGGGCAGACTGCAGAGCCTGTGGAGAGGGGTAAAGGCTCAAAGGAGCTGGTGCAGGAATAGGTGGGGGTGGGGGAGTGGGCTGAGAATGGGTGGCAAGATTACTTGAAGCCAGGACACAGAGCTGAAGTTGGAGACCCTAAGCGTGTTCAGAGTGTGGGTGAATCTCTCCAGAGTTAGGCTCTGGCTGGATAAATACAACCCAAATCCAGAAGGACATGCACATGGAAGGACTGAGGAAAGAATGGCTGGGGTGCAAGTGAGGAGAAGTCTCAGCTAAGCAGAGATGATAGGAGAAATCCAAGGGGCTGGCAGGTCAAAGTTCAGATGAGAAAAAGAGAGAGGACAGAAAGCTGCAGTCAGCAGTGGAATATAGATTTAAGTGAAGAAATGAACTGCTCAGCCTTATGTTTTAAAAGGACACACACACCCCCAGCTGCTATGTGGAGAACAGGGTACTATGGGGGGCACAGGGGCAGGAACAGAGAGACCACTTGGAAGGGCACTGTAGGTAGATGATGATAGTAGCTGGGACCAGGGTGGTAATGGGGGATGGTGCAAAGTGGGGGATTCAGGACTAACGGGAGTTGGTGATGGATGGGATGCAGAGTGTGACAGAAAGAGAGAGGTCAGAATGTGTGGAGCGCCTACAATGTGCCAAGGATGGTGTGGGGAGCTCTCCATTTAAGGATCAGATAGATGGGAAACTGGTAGTTACCCGCAGTGTTCTTGGCATTGAGAAGTGAATAGATGTGCTAGGGGAGGGAGGAATACAACTAACTCTGCTGGGTCGGGAGGGGACGGTGTGACGAAAGCTCCCAGGAGGAGGTGCCACTGGAGCCAGCACTACCAGGTGAGGAAGGAGGAAGGGCAGTCCAGGATGATCCTGTGCAAAAGCACAGAGACAAGACTGGGGAGCCCGCTGTGGCCAGAGGGCAGTGAACAGTCAGTGTGGCAACTTAGCTGATGCACATGAAGACAGAAGAGAAGCGGGAATTGCAAGAGAAAGGAGAACAAGGAGGTGGTGCTGGGCGCCTGGATGGCGGGAGGCCGAGAGAGGAGGGTCCCATGAGCACCTGTTTCCAGTGACAACTGCCAAGATGAGTTAGCACAGCTGTGCTTTATGCCTGCAAGAACGGCTGTGGACAATGTGGGGAGTAGGAGAGGGAGCCAGCTCAGGACAGAGAAGGGGAGTGCCAGGCACTGGGAGACAGAGGCCTTGCCTCAGAGCCCCCATGTATCCATTGAAGCTTTCCTGTAGCTGGGCTTCCGGGGCTGGCAGAGGCTTGTGCTGGGCAGCTGGAGAGGACTGTGAAGGCAAGAGAGGTGAAACCAAGTGGTCGACCTAAGAGGCCATAAGTCAAGTAGCTGGAGGAGGAGAAAGTTGGGAGTGGCTGAGAAGGGGCTTGTCCACTGATGCCCTGACAGCAGGGCAGTGCTGCAGGGATAATGCCAGTGAGCACCCTCGGGAGCCTCAGGACAGTTACCCACCTCGTCCACGGCAAAGGGGAGGGAAGTGCCCACAAGCCCCTCTCCCCCGACCCAGAGATCCTTGAAAGAGGCTGTGGGCAGAAGAGAGAACGTTGGGGCAGGCAGGCAGCAAAGAGTGAGGCAGGGTGCAAGGAGGCATAGGGGGTAGACTGCAGCACTCTGGGCAGAAGTAGGTGTGAGGCTCAGGACTGCCATATGTGAAAGGAACAGAGTAAAAATCTCTTAGGAGCTCCTGCCTGTGAAAGCTGGAGCCCAAGGCACAGACGTCTGTATTTTCCAGGCAAGATGTCTGTGCACAGAGGGCAGACAGCAATGAAACAAAATTGTGGCGGCTGCTGTCAGTGCCCCACCCATCCCCCCTGAACATGGGTCACTTTCCGCCCCAGCAGCTGCCTCCATATCTTCGCCTGCAGCATTCTCTGACCAGCAAAATCCTCACTGTCCACCCACACAGCAAGCAGGAAGTATGGAAAATTAACACCCTGAGGGAGCAACCCAAACACTGGCTTATGGTAATGGGAGTATAGATACCCCACCTCCCTCACCTTACTGATCCTGTTCTCCAGTCCCCCAGAGCTCCCAGTGAGAGTGACTAACTTGTTAACTCTCCTTTTATTGGCTTCCTTCTCTTCCCTCTTTTTATCACACTTCACTACTGGTGTTTCATTTACCTTCCAAATTAACAACTTGCATTTGAATCCTTGTCTCAGGTCTGCTTCTGGGAGACCCCAAAGTAAGACAGAACCCTCAGCAGGACACAGTAGGAAAAACCTGGGGCTGAAAGGCTGAGTTTGTATCCCAGCTCCTTTGTGTGTAAGGAATTCCCAGCTGGCAGCAGGCTTCTGCATAGGTTGGTTGAGCATGAATTAGAATTTTAATGCTTAAAACAAGGCCCAGGCCACACTACTATATGCCATGTTGCCCACCAATCCGAATCAAAACCACACCAATAACAAAGCCCTTTGGCTGGCTTTTGGCTTACTGCTTAAAGCATAGTCCCCTGATTTGTCATCCTGGGCTAAATATAAAAGAATTCTAGCCTGAGTCAGAAAGTTATTTTCAGCACTCTGTCTTATTTTGCAGCCATTAAGGGATGCTGTTCAGAAGGCTGCCTTCCTGAAGGCTAAGGTCAACACTGGTGGCCCCCACATTCCAGGGACAACTGCCCAATTCTTCTCCCAAGGGAAATTATCTCCTTACATTCTGATTGATGCCCCAGCCTCCCCCAAACCCACCAGGTCTTGGCTACTGTTTCTGGCCACTCTCCAGAGCTGGGAACGGGGTCCCTTCCCAGGGCTGAGGTCTCCTCTCTCAAAAGCCACAGAAGTAGGGAAAGGGGCAGTGAACAGACTCCAGTATTTACTACAAAACTGCGAAGTCTTGTGCCCTGAAATTTATGAATTGTCACAAAATCCCTTCAGAGAAATTGTTGTATGTATCTCACAGAAAAGAAGAGTGAGACTTAGATGGCCAAATAACTTGCTCAAGGCTGCGTGACCAGGGTTTGAAAATGCTGTGCCACGCGATACTGCCTGACACTCCTCTTCCTCCACAGTGTCTCTTAGCATCAGGAATCCCACTGGGTGGGAGGTGGGTGATACGCAAGGGTCCCCAGGTCAAAGAGAGGGGCATGATGCCTCTGCTCCCTCAGTAGGGGACACTGCTCTTATTTCTTTGAGGGCAAGGAGAAAAGAAAGCAGGTCTTGCTTTGTCAAGGACCATGATTTGTCAAGGACCACTACCCCTGGTCTGCTCAGCCTGGCAGACACCTGAAGCTTTTGCCTGGGATGGGACGCTCCTGCCGCCTACCCCCAACCCCTGCTGATGTTGAGGATAGTGAGGGTGACAAAGTGGCCTCTGCTTCCTGGGTGATGTCTTTGCATTTTGTTAGGTGCCTTTGGAGACATGACTCCTTGAGGTATATGGTGGGGAAGACAGGGGAAAGGTATGCAGGGAGGAGGGTCTTCCTGGCACAGCTCAGACCCCAGTGTCCCCACCTCCTCCTGCCTGGCACTCTGCTCCCTTTCCAAGCCATCCCAGAAGCCTTCCTGACCACTTCCCACTTCCACTGGGACAGCCTCACTATCCTGCATTCTGACAGCTCATGGGCATTGTGTTTATTGAGGCTTAATTCTAGGTTCTATCTCTTGCCTGCTCAAAAATATCCATGGCTCCTAACTACCCACAAAATAGAAGCCACTTCCCAGCATTTAAGGCCCTTCACCATTTGTCTCAAATGAAGTTTTCTGAGCATATCCTACAGGACATTCCCATGCCCCAAACTTGTTATCCTCTTGCCCACCTGTCCCTTCCACTCCTGATACCCTCTGCCCTTCCTCATCCTGCCTGGCTCCTGTCCATCCTGAGACCCTGGAAGCCCCCTGCCCCAATATACTGAGCACCACCATCATCCCACCTGCATGCCCATGATATGTGACCCACATTGCTACCGGGAGAGCAAGGCCTCAGGTGTTTGATGACAGCCCAGCACAGTGCCTGGCTCAGGGCAAGCCTTGGTCAACATTTAATTCAGGAGTTCTTACCCTTTTTATGCTAGGGACTACTTGGGCATCTGGCAAAGTGTATGGAGCCTTTCTCAGAGTTACTCTTTCAAATGCAAAAAATAAAATACAGAGGATTGCAGATGAAATCGACTTCATTTAATTGAAATCTGTGATTTAGTCTCCAATGTGTTTCCATGTGAAGGCTTTAAATAACAAGATCTAGTGGCGTGTTCTAGTGACTGACACTTCCAAATAGTGAGAAGCATAGACAATATTCCAAAATATCTGTAGCAACTGCTAATATTAGGGGGTAAACTGCCAATACTGCACCAGTTTTGAGCTACAAAACAGTGATTTCATATCGTTTTGTCTAATTCTACTCAGGTTTGTTGCTTACACTCGCTGGAAATGCTCAATTTCAGGTAAACGTGAGTAAAGCTGAAGATGACTATTTTTTTCTCATTCAAGTTCATGGACACCCTCGAATTATATCAGGGACTCATTGAGGAGAGATATCTTGAGAGCCACTGGTTGATGAATGGCCAGGGCCCCTGAAAGGGGTGGGGGGAGGGGGAGTAGTGCAGAGAGGGTGGCCCCTTTGCACCAGGCGCTGCCTGGAACTCCCTCTCCCTGAGCATCTAACCAGCCTGGGTCTCTGCTTCCCACAGGCTCCCTGTTCCCACAGCTGAAGCCCTCAGAGGGCGTCTTCAAGGTTATCTTCTGGCTGGGCTACTTCAACAGTTGCGTGAACCCGCTCATCTACCCTTGCTCCAGCCGGGAGTTCAAGCGGGCCTTCCTCCGCCTCCTGCGCTGCCAATGCCATCGTAGTCGCCAGCACCACCGCCCCCTCTGGAGCATCTACAGTCACCACTGGCAAGCCTCGAATGGCGGCCCGCACCCTGACTACGCTCCTGGCCCAGGTGCCGCACCCTCCGGGGCCCTGCTGGCCCTCACCACGCCCTCAGCCCCCGGCTCCCCAGGCACACGCAAGGCGCAGGCTCCGGTCGTCGGCCGTCGAAAGCCGCCCTGCGCCTTTCGCAAGTGGAGGCTTCTCGGGCCGTTCCGGAAACCCACCACCCCGCTGCATGCCAAGGTCTCCAGCCTGTCGCAAAAGAAACACGCCAGAGAGGCTGCGTGCGCCCTGCACTTGGAGGTGGAAGCTGTGTGCTTAGGCGTCCGCAGTGAGGCAGCTGAGGGCACTACCTGCCAGGCCTACGAATTGGCAAACTCTAGCCTTCTCCGGGAGACTGATATTTAAGGACCCCTGAGTTAGGCCGAGGAGTGTGCTGGGGGTGGGAGAAGGGTGTGGAGATGGAGGCTGGCTTTGTTCAAGAGGCCGGTGAGAATCAAGGACCCAGAAATCGATCAGGGCGACTGCTCTCCAGAATCCCCGAGGAACTGAGGTGTGGGTGAAGCCCCTGAAGGGCAGAAAGTTATGGGCTCCCCCTCCTGGACACAGATGCCCCCAGCTCCTCCTTTCAAGGGAGAGGCTGAGGGCTCCTTGGGGCCATTTGTTTCCAATCCCTGTTTGAGAAACACTGCCCCATCCATGCCTTGAACCCTGGGTAGATGGCCCCAAGTATGGCCAGGCAGCCCTGTCCCTCCTCTTGGGGAGGAAAGGGCACAGAGGCCCTGCCTGGCTGCCCCCAATGCCTCCCCTCCGGAAAAAGTCAGTGGGGCCAAAGCTTCTCAATGGACACAATTTATCCTTACTGCAGACTGGAGGAATCCAGTGGCCTGCCATTGCCACCCACAAGCTTTGGTGGCAGATTGGACGACTGTCCTACAAGCCTGTTGTATTAACCTGTGGGCCCACTTTGCCCTACTGAGGCTCCGCCCTGCCCCTCACTTTGTCTCCCCAAAGGCCTTACTGTTTACACTGTATATAGCTCCTTGTGCCTGTGCCCATCACTTCTTGCTGGGCTCTGGAACCATCAAATGGGGAGAACTTTGTCATTTTTAGACATATTTATTGGTCAGAGTACTTCTATTTTGTCCAAACTGTGCAAACTGTTCATCTTCAGCTTACAACCCATAAAGAACTACTTTTTGTTTTTCTAAAATCCTTCAAGTACTAAAGGCCCACAAGAGGATAAATTGGGTCTGTGTTCACCTTTCTAGTTTCAACCTGTCTCTTTAACTGATGGCTGCTGTCTTTGGGACTTTCAGCATAACCAAAAGATTCGGGCATTTTGTTGGCTTTTAAAACTCACATGATTAGTCTTGGGAACAAACAGTAATTATAAGCACAAAGTTTCGCTTTTTCAGTCTCACCAGATATATCTGTGATGCTCTGAGGGCCTCAGTCTGGAAGGTGGCCATCAGTTAAATGGGTGAAACATTACTTTACATGAAAAAATGTACAAGCCCAAGTAGACAGGTATACATGGTGAGAGAACACCTACTTAGGAACCATGCTTATTGGCTTTGAGTAAAATGTCCAACACTTGTCATGTTCCCAAGAGACTACAGGTAGTTCAGTCTTCAGCTAGATAATATCAACCACATACATCCAACCAGCATGGGAATGATGACTGTAGCCCAATGGACCCTTGGAAGGAGAGCTGGTTAGATAATACTCTGGGCTGTCTGGAGTGGTGGTGTTCTGAAACTGGAAGAACCAACTGCTGGGGCCAACATGAACCAGTATTTTGAGCCAAAAGCTTCCATCCTGTAGTAGGGAGGTAGTCTGTTTAAAAGGTCACCACAATTTCAGACCCCTCATCCCAATATTACAAGGTAAAAAGACAGCCAGTATCTGGGCTCGGGAGCAGAAATTTCACACTGTGGGTCTACAGCAGGTACTGGACTTTCAGGCCTGGTAACCCCCACAAGGCACAGGAGGGGCAGTTAAAAGCAGGTACTGGGAGCATGTTGCACACCCCAAAGAGGGCCCCATCTTGCAGCACACTGGCTACCCTAAAGCTGGGGACACTGGGCACAGCCCCCACAGTCTTCTCACAGAGGTGGGGGCCATCCGTCAAAGCAAAGTTCAGCAAGGAGGCAGACCCTAGTGTCAGAGGATTGAACTCTGGGCTCCCCAGCAGGGGTTCAACAGCAGGGGAGGGTCTCTAAGAGGGTTCCCACATGCCAGGGCAGCTGAGCCCACAGGAGGTCGACAGTGAGGACAAGGGAGAAATGTAGGGAGGGAGCCTTCATCAGAAGGATTTTAGGGGGCCTCCCTGTCCTGGATAACAGTGGGTGTAGAGGCAGGTGGGGTCAGCAGCTTGCCCAGTACTTTCTCTAGGCTTGATGATCAATCAGCAAAACATATCTGACCTTTAAGCCTCAGCTCATGTCTCCTGCACACGGGACTCTCTGCACACAGCTGCCTCCTCCTGTGCCCTCCACACCAGGGAAGGAGCTTTCCAGGAGAGCGGGATGGGGCTACAGAGCCCCAGAGAGGCTGTGCCACAGCAGAGGCATCCAGCATCCCAGTTCTAATCATCAGTAAAGCACTGAGCTGCTGACCTTGTTCTCAGGACATGGCAAAGAGTCCTGGAGTGGCCAAGAGGAATGGAGGGAATAGCAACAGCCCTTCTAGAGGAGGTAGCCTCTTGCAAGTGATTCTGGGACATCTGGGAGAAGGTCCTCAGGTACCCCAGCCCAGCCCATACAACTGATTAAAGAGACTGTCCCTGAGGTGCATATAAAAAATGGGGCTCTAGACTGCAGGAGGCCCCTGTGAAATGTCAAGGTGACTGGGGGAGCGGGGAAGACTCTCAGTACCCATCAAAATGGGACTAGGAGTTCCTTTACACAATCCTCAAGGGATTGAGTGAAGCCTGAAGGATTCTGTGAGTGGGAAGGAGGATGGTCTTGTGAAATGTGACAGAAACAGAAGCAAGCCTCCAAGGGCACTGGTATTTGCCCAATTTCCCCCCACCACACACACACACACACACACACACACACACACACACACACACACACGCAATTCCTTAGAAAGCTGCGTTCCCACTTCCCTCCCAAGGCCCCAGCTCCAGTCTACCCTCCCTCTCCAGCTGGGCTCTTGCTACCCATCTTGCTTGCTTCCCACACTCTTTCCAGGACCTCTGTCCCAGCATCCCCCAGGACTGCTTTTGCAAGTCACCTGGGACCTTTCACTTCCCCAATCTCCTCCCCACCCCCGTCTCTGCCATAGTCCACACTGGTGGCTGCTCCCTGCTTCCTGAAATATTCCTCTTCCAGCCTGAACCACACCCCTGGGATCTTCTGGTCCCCTGACCACATACTCTCTCTCTCTCAATCTCTCTCTCTCTCTCAGTCTCTCTCTCTCTCTCTCTCTCTCTCTCCCCCCCCTTTCTCTCTCCCCCCCTTTCTCTCTCTCCCCCTCTCTCC